GACGCGCTAGCCAATTGTGCCATCGGGGATTTGAGATCTGATTGGTTGATGACTGCAGCCAGCCAAACCACCCAAGTACTGACAAGACCCACCCGCGCTTCCTCGCTTACCTTGTGCGCGGCTTGTGAAGATCCACTCTCCCTACTCCCTTTACTTCGCTCAAGACAACTAAGACCTCCATGCGGCGGCAAGTCTACCTAAGTGTAAAGGTCTTTCTCATAAGCCAGCCTATATTTACAAGAGCAACAGGTTAAACCGACAATTAAGACGAACTTACATAACGAGTCTAGAAAATCAAACATCAAGCCAAGCTGACTAGCGTCAGAGTACAAGGTAACAAGAAGACTTCACTAACAAGAATCTAGTGGTTACAGCGAAGTGAACATTTCAGTAATAGAACCCAATTTTAACATCTACAAAATTACTCGTCGGTCTTTCTGCATGCTATTCTGACATTGAGAACCGACCTGTCAACAGAAATTGAAATACGAATTGCGCAACAGCTCTTGATGTAACGGTGGTCAGAAGCCACTTGGTCGTTGTATCAGTTCTTCCGGCCTAAAGACATACTCGTGTCAAGATATATCAGGCCTCGTATCGAAGGAAATGCGACCCAGAAGACTCATTGAGCGAGGGAGTCAATTCAAAAGATAATTGATATGTGTTAATAGCGTTGACCAGGAGTCGTAAACCACATTGGCAAACATCCTCAGATCGTAACACGATGAGACTGCATTTGTAAACGCAACTCAATGTGGCTGCTGGGCCACCTTCTCCCAAGAATCGGTCATTTCCCTTTCTTGCGAGGCAGAGTTTCAGAATCTTTCTTCTGCCATAGATTGACAAGAAGTTAGGTATGCAAGTGAAGGGACTGCTGATTGATATCGTCATCATGACCTCAGTGGAGCACGATGCATACTTGATTATCTAGTCTATTAGAGGTCACGGGCATTCTTTATGAAGCATCGCTTCAGAGTCGTAACTTTTGAAAATAACACTAACAACCTCTGGGTCGCATTTCCGCATCTTTCGGAAAAAACACGTTGGCAGATTTGGCGTGAGCACCTTTATATCTGCCAAGACTCCTGGCGCAGCTGCCCTGGCAATTTTCCACCACTGGCATCGATCCCCCTCATCCCACGATTGACCCCGCGTAGGTCATCACGCATTACGCCCTCGGGTCAAATCCGCCCGCAGGCGATCATCGAAAATCTTCTTGAACGCGATCAAAGCCACCTCTCAGCCTTTCCAAATTCTTCTCTACCTCAATTCAGTTATTCCTCAACATCACGAACGACACAATGTCCCTCGCCGACCACGCACAAAAGCTCACCAGCACCCTGGAGCAAGCCAAGCTCGTCCCCGGTTCCGCGGCGGCGCTCATCCCGGAAGGCTTCAAGCCCACGATCAAGCTTGGGGTGTCGTTTGCTGGCAAGGCCGTTGAGACGGGCAACTTCTTCCGCGCCGGGGAGTGCAAGCTCGCGCCGAGCGTCTCCTTTGAGGCCGAGGAGGGCGCGCCCTCAAACGCTTCCTACACGCTGTTCTTGACCGACCCGGACGCGCCCACGCCGGACAACCCGCAGTTCGCCTTCTGGCGCCACTGGGTCCTCCCCGGACTGCAGCCACTGAGCGGAGAAGCGGTTGTCGGACAGACGAAACCGGCGTTGACGGAGTTCCTTGGACCCGGGCCGAAGGATGAGTAAGTGTTCACAGTCTTTGCCTTCGAGCAGGTTCCCTTCCAATTGGCTGGAATGAAGGCCGCTGACTCTGTTTTGTGCACAGTTCGAAGCCCCACCGATACCTGTTCCTGCTCTACCGTGAGCCGGAGGGTCTTGACCTGAAGAAGGACGATGTTGGCGGAGAGGAGTTTGTGCAGAGGCGGTCGTGGAAGCCGGCTGAGTTTGCTGAGAAGCACGGGTTGAAGCTTGTTGGAGTCAACTGGATGACTTGCGCTGGAGATGGCTGGACTGAGTAATTTCTAGAACTTGCAAGGTACAACAACAACGATAGACTTTGAATCAACCATTTAAAGAAAAGCCTTAGCGATTCGAACGAGATAAGAAACGTTAGAGGCGGATAATAGTGAGGAAGGAAGCGAAACAGAGGTATTGTCGGATGACGATGGCTTCATAGTGCTGGAAATTTCTCTTGCCAGCACGGTCCTATAGTCTAGTTGGTTAGGACGTCGGATTCTGACTACGATCAGATCCTTCCGTAGGCCCAGGTTCGAATCCTGGTAGGACCTTTTTGACGTCGCTGTTCGCGAGTAAATCGTTATTTTTGCTAATCCTGAGCAATACCAGCTCGCGGAATTTCGACCCGCTACTTGTATTCACATTGTTTCGTTGTGTTTAACTACTTCATTCGCGCGCTCCTTCGCAATGACATGAACAAATTATAGTGAGCGACACATCAAGACAAGGGTCCGAATTCCCTGAGCCGATCTAAGCTCCAGCGGTCGATTGCTCGAATCGGCGCTAAAAGAGCACCTACCACATCCTCACTCAGCGCGCGTCTCTAATGACAGCGAAAGCTAAAGTGCTACGACGCGTCTTGGTGTGATATTTTTCTAACACTGAAAATGCCATTGTCCTGAACACATATCATGGAGCGTTTCGTCATTAGGCGACAAAGCTCGCTTGCAGCAGCCAAGAGGATCCTAGCCCAAGCAGACGACGAGCCTGATTTTGAACCAAAGAAAGCTGCGCCGAAGCCACGAGCGCGCCAGGTCGCTTCCAAACCACCGGCGTCACCAGCAGCAGCGCGCAAGGACGCGTCTGAGGCGGACTTCACTCCGGAGGACGCCGAGCAGGACGAGGGCCACGAGGTCATTGAGCCACTACTCAAGCGGCGCAAAGTCGAGAGGCCGAAGAAGGCGAGCAAATCTGACACGGCGAAGCTCTACGCCAAGCTCTTTGAGGCCTCCGGAGATGTTTGCAAAGACGCATGCACGCCTCCCTCCCGAACACACGCAGACTCATATCACCGCCCGCTGCTCCTCCACGGCCAACCAGGCAGGCGGGGCCGGGACGCGCTGCTCTCATGGTTCGACTCGATTAGCACGACCCGCGGCATGCCGTGGCGCAAAGCGTGGATCGACCCGGCCTCCGTCGCGGACGCAGCCGAACTGCGCCGCGCGCTGGAGAAGCGCGCCTACGAGGTCTGGATCAGCGAGATCATGCTGCAGCAGACGCGCGTCGCGGTGGTGATCGACTATTGGAACAGGTGGATGGCGCGGTGGCCGACGATCCAGGACCTCGCGGCCGCGGAGCCGGAGGACGTGCTAAGCGCCTGGCGCGGGCTCGGGTATTATTCGCGCGCGACGCGGATCCACGAGGCGGCGAAGCTGGTTGTCGGAGACGCGGCGTGGAGGGGCCTGATGCCGGCGGACACGGCGGAGTTGGAGGCCAAGGTTCCCGGAGTAGGGAGGTACACGGCCGGCGCGATCTCGGCGATCGTGTTTGGGAGGGCGGCGCCGATGGTTGATGGCAACGTGCTGCGGGTGCTGAGTCGGCAGATGGGTGTTTTTGGGAACGTGAAGACGGACAAGGCGACTATTGATCTCCTCTGGGCTGCGGCGGATGCACTGGTCAAAGCCGTGGCGAGGGATGCGGTTGGTGATGACGGGAGGGACGAAGAGGAGGCGCCGACGAGTGATCGGCCCGGACGATGGGGACAGGCGCTGATGGAGCTTGGGAGCACTGTTTGCACGCCGAAACCGAACTGTGGCGAGTGTCCCATCACGGCGACGTGTCGAGCCTACGCAGAGGGCGTCCTGCTTGCTGCCAAGTCGAAGAAGCCCAAAGTGGAGGACATCGAGGACCTGTGCTCGATATGCGAGCCTTTCGAGGAAGACGGCGATGAAGGCTCTCTGTCAGGTGAGGACTCTGATACTCCCCCGAAGAAGCCGACGAAGGGCGTCAAAGGGGCGAAACCTGCTGCTCCTGGGCCGAAGCAAGCCACCCTCGCCGCGTTCAAGTTCGTCTCCAAGAACGCCGACAAGGAAGACGCATCCCCGAAGCAGCAACCGACCGTTGACGCGAAAGCTCTCGAGACCGTCGCCGACCATGCCAGGAAGTTCCCGCTCAAGGTTGTCAAGAAGGCGGTTCGCGAAGAAGAGGCCCTCGTCTGCGCGATCCGGCGCGCCGACGGGCGGCTCCTGATCCACCGCCGCCCCGAGAAAGGCCTGCTTGCCGGACTGTGGGAGTTCCCCAGCCATACCCTCCCCGCTGCGACCAGCAACACAGCAACGTCACGGAAGAAGGATGCTCAGGCCTATGCGTCGGGGCTGATTGCCGACGGTAAAAAGGTGAAATTACGGCATGCCGGAGAGCTGGGCAGCGTGCCGTGGCTGTTTTCGCATCTCAAGTTGACTATGCATGTACACCTGTTTGAGGCGGACGGGCCCGGAGACTGTGTGTCTTCGCATGCGCGGAGTAAATGGGCTTCTGTGCAAGAGGTTGAGGACGAGTCAATGGGTACGGGGATGCGGAAGTGTTGGGCGCTGGTGCGGGAGAGGGTGGAGGAGTAGACGAGCGGGTTGGATGAAGTAGAGGCTGATGTCCTGGATAATACCCGGCGGGTTTGTGTGCCTATACGTGTAACATGTAATTGGACTTTGACACGGCGGCTGAAGTAATCAGGCCAATGATCAAGACGTTGGCGACTTATATTGATGGCTATTTCTTCGCGCTGGATTACTGCATCCCATTCCACGCCGACTTGACATTACCCAAGACACGACGCGAGCAGCCCATCAAAATTTGCCTTTCACGAAAGCCATCGGCCCACTGTTCATCCTCCGCTCCTGGACTTCATAGCCCCGGCCGCGTTTCCTGGAGTCTCCGGAAGGGCCGGATGGGCCCCATCTTCTCACGATGGGGCCGGCTTGGTGTTGACGGTGGATACGCTCGCATCGTGCCCTCGACCCGCCCACAACTTCCACCGAATTCTTGACCATCTTGCCCTCGTGATGTTTATAACCACAAATCAGCCTGCCCGGCTAGCTCAATCGGTAGAGCGTGAGACTCTTAATCTCAAGGTTGTGGGTTCGACCCGTAAGCGCCACCATCATCTAATTACACCTAGCGACATCATCACTAACACATCCCAGCCACGTCGGGCTCAATTCCCGTCAGCGATTGACTTCAAATCACATCTTTTTTGCTCTCCCTTTGACTTAATATAGTGTTAGACTTTTTGTTAGCCAGCGAGCATAAATCACGTTCTATAGTTCCTCGTAGGCGTGACCGATACAGCAGTTGCGATACCACGATGAACGCATCTCATGATCTCGTCACCCTTCCTTCCCCAAAACCAAGACTTGGCCAAGAAGTTCTCGCCGTATTTCCACGGCCCCCAAACACCCCCTCCATCAATTTGGGGAATCCCCCTTGGCCACCTGTTCACTTCATGATTTCCCCAAAAACCAAGCATCTTGGCAGGCCTTGGCATCGCGGCCTACGAGCCTCCGCCTCCTGCACCACGGGATCCATCCCGCTTTTAGACGGCCGCTGAACCGATCGACCGTGCATTGAGGCTGAATGCGGTGCTTATCTTTATCTTGATGTAGGGTGACGGCGGTAACCACACCTGTAGAAGGGCCGGCTCGGCTTGCGTCAGGGGCCGGAGGATAGAGTTGACTAGGTCGTGTCTGATCTGCGCGGTGTGTTTGGGACGCCTCCTTTGAGGGGTTTGATGCCAACAGAGCGACGCAAGACACGGTGTTCAACTTGGTGACTTTCTTGTAGTACTGATGCCATTGACTGATCGGCGACTGGGGACGGTTGACGGTTCTTTCAAAAGAGAATGCCCCCGGGTATTCCTTGGAAGTGTTGAAGTAGAACAATATTGTTGTTCTTTGGGGTTACCCTCTCTTCTTTGCCGGCAGCCGCAATGACGTTGTTTGTTTCGTTCCTCTTGGGTTTAGGAGTCTGTATGTTATGTGTATCAGCTCAATCGCCAGGCCATTCCATCAAGACATCTCGGCAGTGCGATTGGAACTCCGCCGGGCCGCTGCATCTTCCACTCCACCAGACAACATGCTCCCTGCCGTATGATCCAGAAAAGAACCTCGGAAGCTCGGAGTTATCGGCGTGGACACATAGACCGGTGTGCACCAGTCCCAAGACAAAGTCCAGATACTGCGCCTTCGTCAAGGATGACTTCCACGGCGACTCAGCAGTTCTGATCCTCACATCCCCAGAGACGGCAGCCGGAGATCTCGGGTTGATCGAGGACTCGGACCCTCGGTGGCTCAGCCCCGGTTTTTCTTCCTCGCTGCCACAGATCCCGCCGTACGAGGTCCGGAAGATACCCGGAAAAGAGCTGGGGGTCGTGGCCAACTCGACGATTCGCGCCGGGGAGGTCATCATGCGCGACTATCCGACCATCTTGCAGACCGTGGCCACGGAAGTGTGGGAGCAGATCGACCCGAGAGAGGCGCTGTGGGTTCTCGAGGAGGGTTTTGTGCGGCTGCCGAGGGAGGTCCAGATCAAAGTCTTTGAGCTCGCAAGGAGTACAGGTGGGCATGTGCTCGAGGATGTTCTTCACACAAACACCTTTGCGGCCTCATTCAATAATGCCAGCCACTATGGGCTATTCACAAACATTGCGGTATGGGTATCCTTTTGTTGCTGGACAAAGGATGAAAGACTGACTGGAAAACAACAGAGAATCAACCACGACTGCAAGCCAAAGTTGGTGGTCCCACAGCAACGATGAGTTTGTAGGCTTACATGACACAGCGCGGTGACTCGGTACTCTCCACGAACGCTCGCCTTGGAGGTAGTGGCGTACCGAGATATTCAACCAGGAGAAGAGCTGAGTATCAGCTGTGAGACGCCACCTTCTGTCTACATCACCGGCTCTCGCCAAGCTAACACCAATACCCAGACTCACCGCTCAACATGCTCTACGCAGACCGTCAGCGGACCCTGCAGGAGTGGGGATTCAACTGCACATGTTCGCTCTGCAGCTCCGCCTCCGCCGTGGCCGTCTCAGATGCCCGCCGCGGACGGATGCAAGAGATAGTATCGGCGCTCAACAACAAAGTCTTCCGCTCGTCGCCCGCGCGGATGGCGGAGCTCGCGGAGGAGCTGGACGGCATTTTGAAGGAAGAGGGGCTGTCGGCGCAGAAGGGCGACTTTTACGACATACTCGCGCGGGCTTATGTAGACATGGGCGAGGTCGAAACGGGCAGGAGGTATGCGCGGTTGGCGGTGGAGAAGCTGGTGCACTTTGCGGGGTACGACGACGAGAGGACGGAGAGGGCGAGGGGGCTTTTGGGGGAGTTGGGGAAAGTTGGGGGAGCGTAGGAGCAGCTTACACGGGGTATGGGGGAAACGGTGCGGTGTGACTGATCATGAACAAGGGCATGTTCGGGGTAATACATGACGGAGGACTGTCACTACCCTTCTCGATGGTCTGCTGCGAGTGGTATTGGCCCGGAGTAAAGGAACCCCGGAGAGAAGGACGGGGGTGAGGTTTCCTGATTCGGGGCGCCTCGCCTAACACCGACGGGATACATCTTTTTCAGGCAGTTCCAACATGGCATGGCGTTGGGGAAAGGGAGTAAACCGTTTTTTTCTTGGGGGCGCTTAGTATTCTCCGACTCGCGCACACCTGCTCACGGCTATGCGGCACCGCTCCATGACCCAAGATGCTGGAACCGCGATTAGGTTCCGCGGGAAGGGGGGTGTGACGCCCGTTGATCCTCCCGCAACATGCCTTTCCCCTGGGTTGTCAAAAATAAGAATAACGTGTCTCTGCTATGCGTTTTCTGAGGGTTGGGGGAGTTGAGGCTCTGGCTGGAGCCGCGTCCATGTGGCGCCAAGAGGCTTGGAAGGGCTTGGACGACCGCTGCCAAGGCTGCCTTGGCATGCTTCTCTGAACGTCGTGCGGATCACCAGAAGATTCAGAGAAGAAAGCCAATGATGCAAAAAGACTTTTGTGGTAAACACAGGAGCATGCCGTTTAAGAAACAAGCAAAGGCAATGATTTCAGGACAAAGACATTAAACCATTTGACTGTGACACAATGCTGCTCTTTGCAAACGAGAACCTTGTTCGGTGTTCGATGCACGTCCCGTCAACACCACAGAAAGACATCACCACCGACACAATGTCTTTATCACGATAGTCCAAATCAACCTGCGCTCCAGTATTTAAATCGGCCCACGTCCAATAGCAAGTCCCCCTACTCTCACCAAACCAGAACGCAACAACACGTCGCATCACATATCTCGGCTAACAATACGACGGCATAAACGAACCCGCGCTATTACTCGCACTACCACCACAGCACAGACTTTCCGAATTTCCCCAGAAACCCCAGAGATCTTCGCTGCCATGTGCATCCAGTACATCATCTCCGCAATCTGCACCGCCGCCGCCTGCGGCGTGCCCCAGAAGGGCTGCCGGCGCGAACACGTGGTCGTGTCGCGGCGCGAGGTGTGCGGCGCCGCGCAGCCGGCGCGGTGCATGTGCTTCTTCGGCTCGTGCGGGCGCATCGTCACGCACTTTGACGACAGCGACCTGGCGCACATCGCCGAGGCGCCGTGCGAGGCGTGCGACGAGCTGTTCGTCGCGGAGCCGGAGGAGGTGCTGCTGCTCAAGATCTTCGACGCCGAGTTCGCGGAGATCTGGGCCGAGTTCTTTGGGCCGAAGCATGCTGAGCGGTGCACCGAGGGCAAGTGGCTGGGCAAGTATGATGCTGAGCAGTTGTTGTTTTACCTCGAGGACGAGGAGGAGACCTCTGTGGGCCGGGATGATGGCGACATTGTTATGGAGTTTTGGGAGGATGCGCCTGGCGCTGCTGGGGATGGTGAGTTTCATGCCATTACGGGTGAGCCTGATGCGATTGAGTTTGAGGGATACGGTCTGGATGAGTTGTTTGAGTCTAATGAGTGTCGTGCGGAGGACATTCCCCTCCCTTCGGACGATGAGGCTGCGATGTTGCCCTACGATGGAGCGCACGAGGACAACCACCAGATTGAGATTCACGGTGACCAGACCTTGGAAGGTGAGAACTAGCAGAGACCTTGGGCAGGGGGCAACTAGGTGAGTGTACGCATACTGGGAGGAAACTCGTAAATTGATTGTGTCGGGCAAATTTGACTACGTAGACAGGACACGCAAAAATTGATGACCACGTAATACACACAAAACAGGATTCTCGAAGGGGGAGGGGGGGTTACACGACCCGAAGATCATCACTTGGGTTCGCGCTCTGGGCTGTAGCTCCGACGCCGGCGGATTGTTAGGAAACGTTAACAGCATGCTATGAGCGATCTTTTGCAATTTTCAAGTAAACCCCGTGACCAACTGACTGGTAAAAGTCTTGGAAATCGTATGAGGTCCCAAATTGCATACACTCAGAAACCTCCGCACGTTGGTCGGACTCGGTGGTAATTTACACGCCTGGGCCCGGGGTGGCTGGGTTTGCCTGGTATGGGAAGTATGGAGCAGCGGCAATCCGTGCTCCTTTTGCGCCTTTCGCCATGTGACGAGTGGGGGGTTTATTTCTTTGGCAGAAATTTCGCGTCAATTCCAAGGTCTCTTCGCGTGCGTGCGGTGTGTGTGAAGGGAAAGTGTGGGTTGGAAAACACCGAGCTCGCGCTGCGAGTTGAGCGCTTAGATATCCCCAGTCCAGTTTTTTACCCCGTAAAGTCCCCATTAAAGGAAGCTTCTCCGTGGGGACTTTGGGGTTGGGGAGCAGGCGAGCAGGAAAAGGGGACCTGGGGAGTTACTTTGGGGCAGAGAAAGGGTGCAATGAGACGGGTGGTCGGATATCCTGGCCATCTGGATTCTGGATGGACGGATGGATCTCTCTGCCTGCGTACGAATCACCGGGCGTGCCACTGCGCAATCATCGATGTCCTGGTTGGCCGAGACGGCATGTAAGCTTAAACTACGGGGATTCATTCGCGCGAGATCCATCTTGCCTGGGAGGATTGAGGGGAAAGCTAGGCAAGCAGACTGGAGTTCGTGGAGCAGCAAAGAGATGGGGAGGCGAATTGTCGGTCGAGGCCCGATGGGCCTGGCCTGGTCATCTGCATTTCTCATGTAACAATAACC